CTTACGGAATATTACATCATGACCACGACGTAACAGTTTTTCCTCTTTTTACACAACTCAATGAATAATATAATTTGTGAATCGATGCAATTGAGTTGTATGGATTGCCTGCTCAAATTATTATTGTTATCTGTTAAGGATGTATTAGATGTACAGAACCTGCAAAGAAAATTAAATTTAAAAATATGTTTAATATTTACACTTCAAATAAACTATATACATATGAAAGTTGTATGAATAATGATTACATTTTTGTTTAATAACACATTTTTACATTTTAGTCATTTTATTTGTTATTATTTTTATTGTTAAAAATTAAAATTTCAAAAATGGTAAAATTTACATTTTTCTTTTAGAAATACTTTAAATATTCAAAATAATTTATGTAGAGCTTTATTGTAATTAACTGATTAGTGTTACAAATATATAGAACAAATAAATATTTTGTTTATTTACTGAATAACTACTTCATGCATCGCAATGTAAATAATCTTGAATTACATATCTTGAATCTACGGAAATCTTGAATAATGTACTTATATTAAAAAATTGAGATTTTTATCATTTATTTTATAATATATTTCCATATATTTTTATTAGAGCACAGATTTAAAAAATACTACTATTTATTAAAATAACTTATGATCCAGATAGTAAACCGTCACCAAATTTGTCATATTATTTTTGAACGTGATTTAGAATAATCTGTAATTTTTTTCATAATTTTTTTATCATTTCGAAAATATGTATATGTAAAATATCCTTAAATTAATCATATAATTATATACAAGCGGCCAATGGCTCACTGAAACAGCTCAAATTGAGTTGGGTTATCTTTATTTTAGAAATATTAAATTTTTTAATTTAGAATTTTTCGAAATTATATTTTTAAAGAAGTTTTAAATTATTTAAAATAAAGTATTTTGAAGGTCAGTCTAAAGTTTAACGCATACTTTACACTTAATGATTTTTATAAATAATGTATAATTTTTTTCCTATGACAAAGTTTTATTCAAATATTTTCTTATGAAAGAAATTTATGATATCATAACTTGTCCAAAGATTTACACATTAAATAATAGGATAAAATTTTTTTGTTAAATTCTCATAAAATTAAGAAAAGAATTTTGTAATTGCAATTGCAAAAAACAAAATTTAATAACATTGTAAAAACATATATTATTGATTAAAAATTTGCTCAACTATATAAAGATCAATATGACTGATTTCAAAATCAGTCAGATTGATTGTTAAACTTTTTGTTTATAAATCTTTCTTCGCGTGATCAAAATATTGATATTACAAATTATTATTTGGCAACGTAATTATCTTTGAGGTACGATTGATCACGATTTAATGTGAACATGTGTATGCCTTTGTTCAATTAATTAGCAGAGAGAAAAGCTTTGATTTATCTTGTAATTATAATATATAATATTAGAAATTTTACAAATTCATGATAACATACATATGTAGAATATTATTCAAGAAGTGTCTCTATAGTCATACATATAAAAAACCAAGAAAAATAACGAATCAATAATCGTAGATTAGTAATTTCGAAAGAAAGTCTAGTAAAAGAAGAGCTATTGCCGGCTGATTACGCAAAAAAATAATTTTTATTTTCTTTCTCTCAATGAGAAATTAAAACTTGCATGAATGCTTCTATATGTATATTTATAACACTATCCAACGCTAATTATAAGGATACATCTTCCTTCAGTGGTTTTTCCTTGTCCCTATTTTCCATTAAAAATTAACCGTCGCATGAATCTGTCCCGATTTAATGCGGAAACTGATAAATAATTTCATAGGGAATAAATGAAGCGGCTATAGTTTCGTATAGTGCAAGGGACACTTGTTAACACGCTTGCGCCGGTCTCACGTGCACTCTATTCTTGTTTCTATACTGTATGTTCTACGGGACAAAAAGTAACAAGAAGTTACACATCAGTGTTGTTTTAACGGGCAAGCCGCTTAGAGTATCGTTTTGTGCGTCACGGACATTAAAGGCGTTACGCTTTCGCTTTCGCTTATAGCTGTTTCAAGATATGCGAATAATTATGTGCGAACATTTAACATTTTTCATTTGCGTTTATAAAGTTGCGTTTATCGATTTACGATGCTTAAGATAAAATAAAAAATACAGCAAATAATTTTCTCATAAAGTACGCGATTTATTGAATGTGTTTAATAATACAGATTTTTGCAGTTTTAAAAAAATTAATTGCAATTTTAAACGGAGTCTTTAAACATATATTAATTCGCGTATAGATATAAATTAAAAATAATTAATCTCCAATAGCGCGTGTGTGAAATTCGTTACTTATAATTACTTATCTTTAATCATGTTAGGTTCGAACGCACATTATGTATGTCTGTCTGTCTGTCTCTCTCTCTCTCTCTCTCTCTCTCTCTCTCTCTCTTTCTCTCTCCTTATTTGAATTAGAATTTATATATTAATAAAATTTAATTGTTTTGAAAAATATTTTGTCTTAATTGTATTATTTTTCTGCAAAAAATTAATTAAAATTTTATTTAATTGATTTTGTCAACGAAGGATCATGACAACGAATGAGAGAAGCAAAAGATATTTATTTACAATCAAAGTTTTAGAATGCAATATAAAGATCTACAGTTACTTTTTAATTCAAGATTGTTAGTCATGTGTGTGTGCCGAGTTATTTTTGTTTATGTGGTTTTTGCTTAATGATTATTGAGTTAACTGCGTCTATAATGTCTACAAATCTTTCGTATTACAATGTGACAGTAGCATTTACTGCTCCGTGAACTAAAAGGTGAAAGCTATGTACAAATTGCAACAGGTGCATTTTAATTACGTGTGCCGAAGTTTTGTGTTATTCCTAGAATTTTGTATTTTATGAAGGTATTTTTCACTAATCGATTTGTAAATGTACCGGTATCCATAAATGTATTGGTACCGTTCTGAGAAAATCGATTTATCCGCGATATCATCAGGAAAATCAGCCTACCAATCTAATCGTTTTTTTGTGCTTATTACTTTATGTACGACTTCAATTCTGAATAATATAAACTTTATAATAGATATTTTGTGTATCTTTATAAATATCTCATTTACGAATGTTTTCTAATAGATTCTTCACACACAGTAAATATCTTACTATTATAATTTTACAAAAACAGTTTAAACAGTTTATTAATATATATATAAATACATTATCTATAAACATTATATATAACTATTAATACGGAGACACTATAATATCGACAATAATTGAGATTATGAAATGAAGCATAATGATAGTTGTACTTATAAAATTAAATCAATCAAAAATATAATGCTCGAAATGAAGAAGTGAAAAATTCGCTTTATAAAAAGGTGTATTTTTGTGACAATCTAATGTGAATGGCAGAGTTTTTTTTCTATTATACGTGTCATTGACATAAAACTGTTAAAGTGTCGGTTTTGGTTTGGATAAAACTCTTATGGTTATATCTTCATGTTATTACTTGTAAATCGTCGATTTAGAAGTGTTACATGATTGGACTTTGGTCATTCAAACCACGCCGAAGCGGCAAAGCGGAGGTGATGTTAGGTGAGTGTCCCATGTATTGCTTTCAACGAGCATTTAACCTTTGGGTTTTGGAGCAATTCAAGTAAATTTCAATCTAAAATTGGGCAACGTTTAATGAATCAAAGTTTACGAAATTTTATTATAAATTGATCGTATGATTATACCTTTTGTAGAGGCTTGTGGATTATTTGTATTTGACGAAGCGCTCATTGAATTCTATTCTCGAATATCGGACGCTTATTTACTGTAAGTTTCTCAGGAACTCAGGAAAGAATCTCTTGAGATTTTAAGATTATTAAATCGATGATTGTAAAGTGATATAAATTGCAGCCCGTAACGTCAACAATCAATTTAGAGCTTTGTGATTAGACTGACATATTTAATACTTGATTTGATACTTGATTGACTGCAACGAAAATCTTAATGTTGACCTTAATTTACAATAAATTTCTTCTGAGAACTAAAACATTTGTAATATACATGTACTATAGAGTATAGCTGTAACTATATGATATAGGTGAAAAATAAAAGTATTTTTTTACAACAATTTAAAAAAACTCAAATTTCTCAAAATTGTGACTTGATGGGACACTTGGTAGATTGGAATTACGTGAAACAAGAGAAAACTATCGAGAAATATTCTCCTTCCCTTGGGAAAAAGCGATTTTTTTCTTGTATAATACTCACCACGAGGTGGCACCGCGCCGTTTGTAGAAGTAAAGGTGAGGGAAAATGTGATGAAAACATTTGCGACGGCAACGGCGGCGGCGGCGGTGGGTACAATGACTGTGCCGCGCGCTGACCCGAAGCTAAGAGTCATTCTCTCTTTCCGTTTTCTTCCGTGAGAAGCCCGCACCGTATGTTTTGAAGCACGCACACGTACGTTGAACGTAGGAAACGCGCGGTAGTAATGTAACGCGAGAGAAATGCACGATCGCTATCCGGCTCATCGTACTAATTCGACGATTTATCGCGAAACTTCTCATACGCGATTATTATATATGCCACGCATTTTTACGTCAACCGACAAACGCTCATATGAACGTTGAAAACCTTCTCCCCTTCTCCCTTTTATTTTCCCTTTTTTCTTACCGCTCTCATTCGTTCCTAGAACTATACGATAAAATGTTTGATACTCTTCATTACGCCCATTATCTAGTTATAAATTTTTATTTATGTGTTTATTTATTTATTTATTTATGTGAATTTTATTATCAATTTTAAGAAATTCAAACAATTTTATATCATTATATATCAAGTCTTGTTTTTCGAGAAATTATTGACTGTCTATATTATATTTATGACATGTACTCCTCAGCTTGTTATAACTCTTGTTTGGTTTTACAAATTTATAATTTATAGATGTACTAGATTATAAATTATATATAGCACAGTCCTCTTTTGATGTGTTTAGATAAAATCTTACATGCATTTTTATTGCAGGTTCCATTATGTTTCACGTGAGGAGGAGGCCCGCAGATTACATGCCGCGGAAACGTAAAAAGAAACCAGCCGGAAAGTGGAACGAGCTGGATCATAAGTATGTCAGTTTTAGGGAAATTTTTATTCGGAGAACATCAGAAGTTGCCCGACATTCTTTATCCGATGGATGTTTAGTCTATCGTTAATTAGTTATATTTTGATGGGTCATAATATTTCATGACATAGCAAATCCTAGCATCTTTTTAGTATCTTTAATCCTTTAACAAATATTTTGACAAAATTAGCCATATTTGCTTTTTATATAGGTACGAGGACGAGAGGCTACCATTTCTGCTAGAACTTAATCCTGACGGCAGCGATATCCCGAATGGCGCCGGAGTGCGGCACCGATTACAACCAAATGTCACGGAGGTAGGATCAGAGAGACCGATAGGACCGCAAGCGGTGCAAGCGCAAACACTGACGCTGCCGGGACCGACGGTGATGCCCAGGCATTGCGTTATAGCCTTTACCGAGAACATTGTGACTCTCACACCATGTTCCAGAGATGCGCATACGTATGTTAACAATCAGAGGATACATCAGACGACCATTCTGCAGGTGCGATCGTTTTTGCAATCAGGATACTTCCATATATTCGTATTTGTATATACAGGGGATCTGCCAACAACGCTCGTGAGCAGGTAGAGCGAACTGAGACGAAAAGTCCTACCAATACCATTTTACAATTTTCCCAATAATTAACGAGATATTAATTTCTAAAGATCGTAGTCACTAGTCACGCGGGGAATTGTTTTTTTTTCGCCGCCGTGCGTAATTATTGCTGTTTGTAATAAACAACAACTCCCCGCATATCTAGCGATTACGAGCAATGGGCGAGCATTTGGCAGCATGGCCGGCGCGGCCATTTATATAAAATAAAATTAAAATTTTCTTTACTTTAAATTAAATTAAATTTTATATATTGAATTGTTAATGCGCACCGATTTGAAAAGCAAATATAATAATAAACTTCATCGTTATTGTGCTCACTTGCAGAATGGAGCTATCATCAAATTCGGCAGAATGCACACCTTTCGATTCATTGACCCGGCGCCGGAAGAGCGCATTAGGCAGAGACACGATTCCAATAAACAGATCGACTACACTTATGACCGGTAAGTTTGTGACTCATAAGTAAGTTTGCGTTCTCCTTTCTCTCGCCATTGCAATCAGATGAGAATAGACATGATGCGCGAATGTTGCACGTTCGTTGTAATTTAGTCGATACATATTCCTTTTTGTATTGCAATGTGAATACACTTACAATAGTTCATGTTATTATAATTATTAGATACTTTTGTTGCCGTATTGCATTAAATCTTATACATATGTAGATTTCTAATAATTTTACCTGAATTACTAATGCTTTGTCTTTGAAAGTATGGAATACTTGTAATAAATGTTAAAATTTATAGATTGAAAAACACAGTATAAATCTTTTTATTAAATAAGAAGAAAGAGAAAAGATTAAAAGAGTATTCTACATTAATTATGATTATCACATTTTATTAAAAATCTACCTTCGGCTGAATCTTATTAAAGAATCGAAACGTATTTTTCCACGAATTTTTATTACACTTTTTTCACTTTTTAAATTTATTTCGCTTGATATGCTTTACGTTTGCTTTTCCTGTTGTGATGCTCGCTTTGCACACGCGTAATGATAGACGCTCGCCGGACGCGACCAGTCAGGATGTCAGCTCAGAGAAGTTTCATCCGGGGTCTGGAACACCGAACGGCGGTGGTCAGATCTCGGGTCAAGCTCAAGAGCGAGCGACCCCGTCAAGTCCTTCGAAGTCTGCTGTTGCAACAGTTCGTAGTCCTCGTAGTCCCACGCACCCGCCGGAGCCCACGCACAATTATGAGACCACATTCGACCTGGATGGAAACGTGGAGACTGCTAGTCTAAGCAGCAGCAGGGATGGTAACAGGTAGCAAACCGGGGAACAATTATTAACAATTTAAAAACAATTTGAATTTCTTATGTTTCAAAACAAAATGAGGAAGTTAGGATTACTACGAATTGGCGCTGTAATTAGTACGCGTAATTAGTACATATTAATACAAAAAACTGTTTAAAAAGTATGCTTGATTTAACTTAGTTATTTTCTCGATTTGTATAAGTTTATTTTTTTTAATTCTTTAATTTGATCACTTTACATTTACGACTTGTCAATTTAGCTAAGTTATTTATTGAATGCACAATTATTATGCAATATCAAGCATTCTTTTAGAATACTATTGCATTGTAGAATGTACACTGTCAATATTTTCTTACAATATTATAAATGTATATGTAGAATTATTCATAATTAGGGAAAATATAATATTGTATGAATGTATACCTTTAAATTATTTTTTGGAAATATTGATATTGACTTTTGAAAAAGAAGATTTGAAAGTTTAAATAGATTATGAGAAAACAAATTAATGCCTATTGATTATTAGCAGGCTCTCACAATACGATCGGCAACCGCGAGGCACCGATCCAATTCTGCCAGCTGTCTTAGAATTTCTCGAGGAAACAGAAGAGACATTCCTTCACGCTGTCATCACTGATATAGAACCCTCGGCGCCACAGTTCAAGTTGGCGCCAACCTATACCCTCTATCTCAGCGCCAGATATCGCGCCAGCACTCATTATAGACCAGAATTGCAGCCTACGGAAAGAGCGCACCGACTTACCGTCATGTTGGCGAATGTTGCTACTATGATACAACGCGTTATCCAAGTATTTCTATATCTATGATAATAATTTTGTCCTTTCAAGCAACGTACCTATTTTTTAAGATGGTTCATGTAAATTTCGAAATATCTTTGAATTATTTCAGTAAATATATTTAAAAAAGTGTCTTAGTTTATATAGATATAATCTAAAAGTGTGATTATGTTACAAATGATTATTCATAATAGCATATACGAATAGTCTATGAATAATATGTAATGAATATATGAAATATATGAAAAAGTTTAAGGAAAATTATGTTTCCAGGAACGTTACATGGACGCTTCGTCATTGGCCTTTTGGCTAGCGAATGGCTCAGAGCTATTACATATGTTGAAGAGCGACCGGCATGTGGGTGCATTTTCCACGCGAGCGCAAGATATCTTAGCAGAAGCGGTACATACGGCTTTCGGCTCATTGGTGCGCTGCATCACATTAGAGCTTACACCAGCAATGACACAGTTCATGGCGGACGCAGATGAACCGGCGAAGGAGGCTGGAGTACTGCAGATTTTTTCAAACACGATGGCCTTATTACGACGATGCCGTGTGAATGCCGCATTGACGATACAGTTATTTAGTCATCTGTTTCACGCGATCAATGCCACGGCTTTCAATACCCTCGTCTCGAATGGAAATCTGTGCGTCAGATGGTTCGGACGCAGACTTAAAGCGAGACTAAATGCATTAGAGACCTGGGCCGAAAGGCAAGGCCTGGAACTTGCCAGTCAGTGCCATTTGGCGACGATCATGCAGGCAACTCATCTACTACAAGCTCCGAAATACAATGCTGAGGAGCTGGCTACGCTAAGCTCGACCTGCTTTAAATTAAATTCTCTACAAGTGAGGGCATTACTACAAAAATATCAACCGGCTGCGGACGAGCCTAGGCTACCTGCCGAGTTGATCGAGAACGTAGTGAGAGTGAGTACATTTAATAATCTGCGTTTATATCTTATTAAAATAAAATATCATTTTATGTTCTTCATACAATCGATGTATCATAGGTAGCAGAAAGTGTCGCGGATACGCTTGCGCGTGCAGACGGCCGCGAAATAAGACTAGAGGAGGAACCTGTCCTAGGGTTAGCATTGCTACTTCCCGAGGATGGCTACAGTTGCGAAGTAATAAGAGGTGTTCCACCGGGATTAGCGGAATTTCTGACACCTCTGCAACGAGATGGATTATGTCGAATGGCAGCCCAACCTACTAGTAGTGGTTATTGGACCATTTACATGATAGATCACCACAACAATGTAAGCTACAAATTTTTACACGAAAATCTTTGCATAGTTTTTAATACGAAAATTAATTAGTAAGCAAATCATAGCGTTTATAATCCATCATTTTTATATGTGTGTATCTTTCTAATTTAATAATTGTAGATTTTAATAATTGTAGAAAAATATTTTTATATTTAATTTTTTTTAAATTTTTTGCAGTTGCGTAGTCCCAGCGCAATGAGTAATAGATCTGGTGGCTACATCAGTCACATAAATCAAAACCAAGCTCAACCTGAGATACATGTTATTAAATTACACAAGAGTACCAACGGTATGGGCTTAAGCATCGTTGCAGCAAAGGTGTGCATTCTTAGCTACGTATACTTATTTATTATAATGAAATGATATTAAATCTGTTATTTTAATTCTGATATACGTAGGGCGCAGGACAGGATCGATTAGGTATCTACATCAAAAGTGTTGTTGCTGGTGGTGCCGCAGATGCTGTAAGTAATTACCATTTATTTAGAAACATTTCATATTTCTTATGATATCAAAATCATGTTTAAAATGTATGATAATATTTAATGTATATTGCATTTAATTATTATTAAATAATATTTTACACATGATAACATTTTTAGGATGCGCCAAGTTTTAATCATACGCTTCTAAATGTGTTATATTGCATTAAATATGGTTAGATTAACTAAAACTTTATTTAAAATTAAGAAAAAACAAGACACAATTTTAACAATAAGTAAAATTTAAAAAATCCTGATTATTATGAAATCAAAACTTATGAACACGCACGCGCGCGCACACTAAAGTAATTCTGATTAAGTTTTTATGAAAAACAAATTTTTATATTATTCAATTAACTTATTTTTATGTATTTATTTTTAGGACGGCAGATTGACGGCAGGTGATCAACTACTCAAGGTAGATGGACAAAGTCTGGTCGGGATAACACAGGAAAAGTATGAAAAGTTTTAATAATTACATATGTAATTTTAACTTAAATTTCTTAATAGTTTAAAATATTATATCATTAAAATTTATTCGCAGAGCTGCTGAGTATCTTGTACGTACCGGTCCGATCGTGACATTGGAAGTTGCGAAACAGGGAGCTATATATCACGGACTTGCAACGTTATTATCTCAACCTTCTCCGGTGATGTCAAGAGGTAAGTTCGAAGATTAATATTGTAATTTCCAAAACTAATTTAGCCTTTGGAGAAAGATAATCGAAATCTTATCAATCGATAAAACGCGTGAAGAAAATAATTCTGTACGTTTCTGTACGATTTATGTCTTACAAGAAATTCAGTTTAGTTTTTCTACTTTTCTTTCTACCGTGCAAGTATAATTATTAAGATTCAGTTTCACAATTCATGGTTAATTCTTAACCAAGGTTCAACTTATTTCTCATCTCTTTTCAATTTCTAAAATTAGAAAGAGATAAGGAATAAATAAGCTAAATCTCGGTTAAGAGTTAACAATGCGTTGTGTTATTAAGTTATTGTACAAAAATTTTATTATGAAATTACACGTGATGCAAATAATCCACTTGATGAAAATTATTTATTATAAATTGAATTAATTTAATGATATATAAAACAACTTTTCGAAACGGTCAAGCATATCATTTTCTTGCTTTAAACGTACGTGTGAACAAGATCTTATTTTCTACAAAATACTGATCAGATTTATCGCCAGCGGACATTTTTTAATCCAAGTAATCGCTTTGTCAGAATAACGCTTTTCGCTTCGCTTTACTGGAAAAGAACCCGCTTTACTAACGCTTGACTAATCACTTGGTTCATGCAGCATATAAGACTCGGCCCAGGTCCGAGCTCTTAGAGTCAGCGGTAGAGACAACGGAGACGACCAATCAGCCAACCACGTCACACTCAATGGGTGACTTATTGTCCTTTCCGAAGCAGGTGCCGTGTCAGGAGTTAGTTCAACCAGGTGCGATATCATCTCAATGCATCTTCGAGACACCCTTTTATCGTAATCGGCTCAACCGAGGTTTCTCACGAGTCGACGTCGATGAGTACCGTTCTTCCATGCGACAAGATCCGCTCTTTCGTCAGAGAGGTGCATATCTTAATGTCTATTCCGTTGACAACAGAGAACACATCTATTGTCCATCCACCCCTATCGTATCTCCCATACGTCTCTCGAGGTCTCGTATATCTTGTCCCTTGATTTCTATCACGAGCGACAATGAGGTATCATCCGTCATATATCAGAATGAAAGTGACGAGAGTGACGATAAGATCATAGAGGAAGGAGATAGCAGCACGGAACAAGATGGAGCCACGACGAGTAATTTAAATTATTCGACAGATGCTTTAAATCTGTTCGAAAGGATCACCACTCCACTGCGAGAGTATGCAGGAATTACAAAGGACTATAAACACTCGCTGCTAACGGAACCGCTGACTGTCGATAAAAATCTTTTCGATAATATACCCTACATTGATCAAACCGATAGTATTAACTTCACAGAGTCCTCTGAATGTGTTCAGACAAACCCAAGTAACAAATGCGAGCATTGTATTAACGCCGACTGTGACAACTTTAATCTTGAAAATTCTCAGAAACGCACAAATGTAGAGCGTAATAGACAGCAGACTTTAAACGTTCTAGAATCTAGTTTTGAGTTAAATACACGTAACAATCCAAACTTTTCATTGATTAGCTCCTTTCCTGCGAATAATTCAATATTGTTTACCAAAGACACTACAATTGGATCAGACTCCGTTGTAGAATCTAAATCAGATGATTTCTTGCGCTTTTATGACGTGGATACCACAAAACATGTACTGAATATTGATGAACGATACGAGGACAAATTAGAGGATACGTCCAATTCCGAAGATTGCGCGGACGAATCTAGTTCCACGATTAACGATGATTGCGCGTCGAATAGAACCGACAGAGATACCGAGGAAGGAATCTCGACTCCTAAAATGCACACAATAATGCCAGAGTTGCATCTCGATCTGAGCGGACTGAACAACGACGTGTCCAGTGACGAATCTAAAATAGAGAAATGTTGGAAGTCACCGGAAGAAGTGCGCTTAGGGTGCGGTAGAGTCGCAGCGTTAGCGAAACATTTCTCAAAACTTGGCGATGCTGGTTTAATCAAGTTTAAGTCCACCAAGTTGAATGGTTCCCGTCAATTTGTGTCTGAACCAAATATTATGACGTCGCATAAAAGCGACGAACATTTGCACCATTCTTATCACGCGCAGAAAGAATACAAATCGGATTCGAATTTGGCAAGAGAAAGAGATGAAAATTCTCGACTCTGTTCAGATGCGAGACACAACAATATCACTCTAGTTGATGTTGAAGCAGATGGCGATTTTGCGATCGAAAAATGTAAGTTTCATCATTGCGGTGCTAGACGAGTCACAATTGCCAAGATTCCAATGAACGAACAAATTACGATTGATACTGAGGAAAGTACAATCCAAGCAAGGGACAAAAATCACGATAAAGATATTATCAAAGATGAAAATAAAAGTTTACTTGATGCTAAGAAGGACATAGCTTTGATAAAAGTTGAAAATATATCGCATAATAGTAGCAAAGATCAGGTGTTTTTTAATACCAAAGGGGATATAACTTTTGTCAAGAGGGAGAACATGGCAATCGATAGCAGCAAATCTCAAGCCGTTTTTACAGGTGGAAGTAAAAAAAATATGTTAACTGGGAAAGATAACATTAAAAATAGTAGTTCCAAACTCTCCTTCGAGCAGCAGAGAGTAATCACAGAACAACTCGAGCAATTCTCAAATCTAGATAACACCGATGCACCTTTATTTATCCCAAAGCAAGACATGTCAAAAGATTCTACCGTTTTTAAAAAAAATCAGAATAATGAAATATTCGCTATTTATGATTTGACTCAGTTGAATTTAATAAAGCAATTAGAGGCAGCATCTCGAGAAAAATTATTGTCGTTGATCGATATAGATGATAACTTTAAAAAAATGAAGAAAACTTCTGATTCTTTGTCGTCCTCTTCTCTGCCTTCCATTCGACTTCCTTCATCTTCCATCGTGCTGTCACTATCGAACGTTGTGAAAAGTTCTCAGCTCTCGGAAAATATTAAGTCACAGATTCATCAATATTGCGGAAGATATCCTAAATGCTTGTTTATAAATATTTCTGCCGCTAAGAATTGCTCCAACGACACCTCGGAAAGCTCATTGATGTCACATACAAACGTGTATTCACGATTAGGTGATAATAAATGTTCAGTTCTGCGAATGCGAATTGTCAGACCTCTTTGTAATAGCGAAAGTAATCTAATCGGTGCTGCAATTTATGGTAAAGAGACTGAGAGATTCATAAATCTTCACGACAAGTCTTCTAAATTAACACGAAGTTGTGAAAGTATTTTAAATAGTAAATTTTTATCTGATTCTGATGATCGAACACGATCTTTCGAAAATATCTGCAAAGAACTAGATTCAACTTGCAAGTTTTACGACACATTCATCTCAAATCCTAAGGAAAGTGTACGATGGCATCATCATCGTTCTCTTGAAGAATTAAAATCGAAAAAAGGATCGAGGAAGCGAGACAATTCGATAAATTCTATTTCTGTTCACTCTACCCAAACAAAATTTGACAAATTCTACGGTGATCGATTAGACTTCGAGGACGGAGAATGCATACATTGGAATCGTCATTTGTCGCTTGAAGAATTGAAATCTAAGATAGAATCACACGAGCGAGACAAATGTACGAATATAGAACGATCTGCTGACGTACAGAAATTTAACTGGATGCTGAAAAAGAGACTTTGCATGAAGCGCATAAATGACGATCGGCTGAAAGATAATTCTCTTAAATTGTCGCATGAAAAAGCGAAAGACATGGAACATCAAAGATTGAGAATAGAAGGGAAATCTCAGAGCAAGTTTGACGTTTCGAGACAGAAGTCCGATTCAGAGAAATACAATTGGAGTTTCCGCGAGATCAGCTCACTGAAAGATGATGACCGGTCCGCTTTGCGTAAGCTACCACTACGTGTTATACATTAAATGTGCATTTTTATAGTCGGGGACTTTTCTTTCTTCAAGCACTTTTATTTCGCCTGAATGAGATGAATGAAAAATTTACATTTGCAAACGGATCGGTGTCGCACGATTATTAGATTTATTTACATATATTGCGTTTGCTCTTTATTTATAAAGCAGAACCAAACGATTTTTCAGCGTAAATCATCTTCATTTTATTTCACAGTACGTTATTTTATGGCATGATTGATAAAACAGTGTAATTGAAAACTGACCAAATTATCTTTATAAAATTATATAAAATTATAAATAATAGGCTATAAAATGATAAAGTTTTAGAACAATATAAGTATAGTTTCTATTTTGTCCCTTATATATATATATATAAGGGACATGAAAAAAAATTTTTTTTTTAAACAAAACAGAGAAGTCGAAGATTTGATCGAGATAAGAAATTAATTTGGTTAATTTTTTATGTAAATGCATCGATTAACATATTATTTATGGAATGGATTGCAAGTGTCATCCTGCAAATTATGAAATACACAATTATTTTCACAATAATAATACGATATATTTTGCTATATACGCAAGCATGATATATTAATACAATTTTTTTTAAAATACTTTTTTGTTCCATTATACTGTATTTAAAATAATATGCTTACACCTGCATTTAGCAATACACCTGTGGTATTGTGTGCACATAATGGTAGTTAGGTGCGTAGAAAGAGAATGTTTTATGTTAGATACAATTATCCAATTATGAACTACATAATAATAGTGACGAGAGAATAAAGGGCACATAAAAGTCAAATATATAATAAAGTATATTAAAACATGAAAAATCAAAAGAAAATATGAATACAATTTAGAAAAAACATATAACATACAGTACAGGCAATAGGAATCAACGCTGGTTATCAATTAGCGCAATTCTTCTTAATATTAAAAATATAAACCTTGACTTTGAACATTTCCATTCATGGTTTGAGTCTTCATCAGCAATCTTTCTCTCTAGCGCAACGGTTGGAGTATTGCATAACAAAATAATATCTCTAACGTTTTTCCTCTCAAAATTGAATCTTTAACTGTTGTGAAGTAAGTCACATACTCACAAAATTAGAAAGCTGAGTGGCAATGAGAACTCAAGCTAAAATTATATAAATGATTAAATTATCGTATGTATAATTTGAAAATTAATAATCAGCTCACCTCATACAGTCGACGCTTCTACACTGAACAATAAATCTCTCTTATGCAACATTTTGTAACTCGTTAGTATGTTAAAAATTATCGTCAAATTCTAAAATAATAACTGCGAGAACAATATGTATCTTGTCATTTCGACAGTCGGTAAAATAATGATTGCTAAACAAGTAACATAGCGGTAAAAGAAATTAATAAAGAGCATACAGCCACAACGCCAGTTAAAATTAGCAAAAATATATTTAATTTACATCAAGTAAACGTTTCGGTCACCATCTGACCATCATCAGTACATCAAATTTCATATTAAACCTATAGGTATATAAATTGTCAACTATCAATTATACAGATCAAAAGCATTATTATCGTTCGCAAAAAACATAATTCTTTTAACATAAAATTACGACAGTCAAAAGTAAGAAGTCACTTCCAGTCCAAACATGATAAAAAAACCTTAGAAGCAGTTGTTCTAAGGTTTTCTTATCATGTTTGGACTGGAAGTGACTTCTTACTTTTGACTGTCGTAATTTTATGTTAAAAGAATTATGTTTTTTGCGAACGATAATAATGCTTTTGATCTGTATAATTGATAGTTGACAATTTATATACCTATAGGTTTAATATGAAATTTGATGTACTGATGATGGTCAGATGGTGACCGAAACGTTTACTTGATGTAAATTAAATATATTTTTGCTAATTTTAACTGGCGTTGTGGCTGTATGCTCTTTATTAATTTCTTTTATAATTTTAAGCCACTTATTATCTTATATATATAGCGGTAAATTTGAAGATAAACAAACTAAAGTTTATGACATGTATATATTACGAACAAACCTTACAGTTTATTGAAAATCTCAATGTACGCATGATTTAAGCCAACGGTATCATGTTGTAGATTTAGCCCATTGGTCTGTCGATTAATGTGCATCATCTCCGTTTGTTATGATAATTCTCTACATCCAAAATCTCTGCGTTTTGCCGTTTAATCAAAGTTATGATCGTTTTGCAACCTATGCTCTATAGTCACCGAATGAGTTGATGTTGGACTAGAGATATGCTTTTGGTGTTCAGAAAGTCTGGTTTTTAATTTTCTCCTTGTTTGTCCCACATAGAAAGCATCGCAATCACAACAATTGATCTTGTAGATTACATTCCTTTTTAATTCATTATTTAAAGAATCTTTATGAACCTTAATAAACTGATTCAACTTGGTCAAACTAAAAAATAAAACCCTATGTCAAACACCATTAATTGCATTCTTGAATTTATTTGATATCTCTTCTAAATACGATATAGAAAATCATTTAACCCGTTCTTTAGATAAGTTGTTACTTGATCTTTTAACTGAACAAGAATTCAATTTATTTATTAATTATTTATTAATTAATGTTTTTATTAATTAATTATTTATTAATTAATGTTTTAACGCTTTCATTAATAGTATCGAATATAAAATCTAATGGATAATTATTTTCCAAAAATATCCTCACAACAAATTCAAGATTCTTTTGGTGAATTTGTGGATGTGAGAGATATAAAAAACTTTATATCTCTCACATCTCTACCAAATTAAATATTATGCCCTTCTTTTGTGAGATTGGATGCCGAGACAAAAAATTAAAAAATCTTATCGGCATCGAAAACGTTGGTTTTTGATGCCAGTTAAATATCAATGAGTTATTTTTTCAAATTATGGTTGTGTCCAAAAAATTGATAGAATTACCACCCAATTCCTAAGTGAATTGTAACCTTGGATGAAATGAATTGAATTTTTCGAGAATAGAATCGATTTTAGAATTCGGTAAACAAAGAACGATATCGTCCACATACCTATAATAAAATGGTATATGATATTGAATATTGCTCAACACCCAATTCTCCAAATCCATCATAATTAAGTTAGCAACAATTGGAGAAAGCGGTGAACCCATAGGTGAATCCAAAAGTTTGTTTATAAAATTGATTGTCAGAAGTAAAATAAGTTGAATCCAACACTAAGCGAACAGCTTTGAGAAATTCATTTTTTGGTAAATTGCAATTCTTGCAAATAAAGTCCTAACTATTGGAAAGAGCGTCTAATGCTAGATCCGTTGGAATGTTGGTAAAAAATGATATTGCATCCAACGACACCAAACTAAAACCATGATCAATTTTAATATTTTTTAATTTCTGAACTAATTCAAAACTATTCTCGATGTTACACTAGCAGCTTTAGATATGCTTTTGATAATTGAATGTAAGAACGCTGCCAAATTATATAATACTATCCAAAGGATATGATGATTCTGAATGGGTAATTTAGTTTATGCACTTTTGGCAACGCATAAACCCTAGGAATGTTACCATCACTACAATAAAATATGAATAATATAATATTCTATAATTGATTAAAATATGACATGTTTCGGTCTCACGATTGAGCCTTCTTCAGATATACGTATAAGAGATGTTACATTACATGAAAGCAGTCGAAAGATAGAAAAAAATTATACATAAAGTAATGATGGCCAGTGAGATGCTTTGCTGAGAAACGGAAATCATTCGCAAACGGCTGGATGACAAGTTGTTTGAACTTTTCCGGTGTTCTGGTAACAATCAAGTTAGAAATAAATTACGAGAATAATAAAAAAGAAATTGAGTAAAATCGTCACTCTGGTCAAAACAACTCACCTAGCTGGCCATAAAATAAAATTTCACACGTCGATAAGATGTAAAAAATAAACATAATTACATTAACAAACCAACTGAATATACTTGTGACGTTACTAATACTCGGCATATATTAAACAAAAATTTTTCTTCTTTACGTACACAGCATGATGGTATAACAAAGAATTTTAGAACATAGAAAATAACAATCATAACTATATATCAGTTCCCACGTCCCTTAATCCTATTGCACTTCCTACTGCATCTTGCGTAAAACAAGTTACATATAAAAATCCTCCTCCGATATCCATCAGATATCCTAACTCCTTTTCTATATCTGAAATTTTCCATTCCATTTCTTCGGTCAGAGACAAGTGGTTTGTGAATCTATCATCAGTGAATATTCCGGACAACTAAGTATAAGCATATTCGGGCCTATGACGGTCAAAGTTAGATCTTTCTTTTGCCTAAATAATTCCCAGTGAATTATCTATATATGTACAATATTCTATGTACGTACATACATATATATCATATTTTTGTAGTTATTCAAACTGCGCGCCGAAATTTTTCCGGACTTTATCTAACGCAATTAAACTACTGCAATAATAGGTCTGTTTTTTTATTGCTGCACTTTCTGAACTGGTACACACAGTGCAATAAGTTGAAGTGAAACAAATATACATTTGTTTTACCTCAACTTATTGCACTGGTTCAGAGTGCAGCAATAAAAAACAGACCTAATATCACAAGTTAAATTAAATTGACAATGTGCTGAAAACCTTAAATAAATTTATTGCAAAAAATATTACCTCGGCCAGGACTTGAACCCTTCAATTTACTTATGCTTATACTTAATATTTAATTTCCTGTCCGAATAAAATTTTATTGTTTATACACGCTGCCTGTAAAAAGCGTTATTGTTCTCACATATACTGATTATTGCGAAGAATATTACTAAGGCCTCGGTGGTCTAATGGCTTAGGACGCTCGTACGGAATACAAGAGATCCGAGTTCAAGTCCCGACCGAGGTAATATTTTTCGCAATAAATTTATTTAAGATTTTCAGCACATTGTCAATTTAAATTAACTTGTGATATAATTGCAATAGTTTAATTGCATTAGATAAAGTCCGGAAAAATTTCGGTGCGCAGTTTGAATAACTACAAACTACAGTTTGAATAACTACAGTTTGAATAACTACAGTTTGAATAACTACAACTATGGTATATATGCATGTACATATATAGGATATAGATAATTCACTGGGAAATATATAGGCAAAAAAAGATCTAGCTTTGACCGTCATAGGCCCGAATATGTTTATACTTAGTATTTAATTTCCTGTCGGTCCGAATAAAATCTTATTATTCCGGACAACATTCAATGCTTATTACAACTGGGAGAAAACTTCTCGTTAGCGAATAAAAATAAGAAAAACATTGTAATTGATTGCATTAAAAGCATTGAGTATAGCATCCGTAGATTCCCGATAGACAAAAAAATAGATGTCACGAACCACTCAATCCCCATTTTAAACAACATAGTAAATTCTCCTATTGTTACATCATCTATGGGCAAGAAATTATTAAAATTAGAAATAGAAACAAAATAGTTTATAGACTCCCATCCCAACATCATTCTAACACATGCCTATAAAGATAATGTCACAGTCATTCTTGATAAACATACGTATGTCAAAAAAGTGAACGAAATGTTACAAGATAAAGAAACTTATGAAATAATCAAAAAAGACCCTGTCAGTAAGCTTATAAAAACTCTTAGAACTTTACTTGCAAAATGGAAGGAATGCAATTATGTTGACAATTCTCAATACAGACAATTGTCATGCAGTGATGGTTCCGAGAGTTTATGCACTGCCGAAGATACACAAACCGGATTGCCCGTATAGAATCATTGTATCGTCGATTGGTAGTCCACTGTACGAGTTAGCCTCTTTTTTACACCGCATAATATTTGAAACAATCCCTAAAGCTGAAAGTTATATAAAAAAGTTTTCAACTTGTTGAGAAACTAAAAGATTTAAATATGGAATCTGATTACAAACTAATTTCATTGTCGTTTTGTTGTTTACGAACATTCCAATAGAAGTAGCCATAGATTGCGTAAACGAAAACTGGAATTTTATTACAAAAAAAATGTTCTATACCGGTGACAGAGTTTCTGACGGCAATTAAGTTTGTATTAGACTCTACGTATTTTTTATTTGATAACACCATTTATAAACAAAATTTTGACACACCCATGGGCTCTCCGCTATCTCCAGTCATTGCGAACTTGATATTGCAAAAATTAGAGAGAACTGCCTTGATGTTATTTAATGATCACATACTGTTTTACTATCGGTATGTTGACGATTTCTGTGCTGCTGTTCCTTCTTCAAAAATAGATCAATTTTGGAGTGTTTTAATTCTTTTCATACTCGTCTTCAATTTACGCTAGAAATAGATGACTCACTTAACTTTTTAGATGTTACAATCTTTACTATTGATAACCAATTAAATTTTGATTGATATCAAAAATCGACCTTTTCGGGGAGATTTCTAAATTTTTTTTCAAATCATCCCCTCTCACAAAAAAGAGGAGTACTCATTAGTTTAATAGATAGAGCTCTTCTACTCTCGAATTCAGAATATTATAATAAAAATTTAACAAAGATAATCGAAATATTATTACTTAATGATTATCCTCTAAAATTTATTTTTGAAACAATAAATAACAATCAAAAGCATTCTAAGAAGGACAGTATCGCATAATGACTTAGAAGAAAAGGACGAATCATCAGTGTTTCCATCTTGGTTCACTGTTCCTTTTATTCCCTCATTGACGGATAAATTAAAAAAATTTAATAGAGATGACATCAAGGTTTCTTTCTATAGTACGAACAAATTAAAAAAATACATTAAAGCACATAAGGATCTTCGACATCATTTTTCAAAAAATAATATTGTCTATAAGATCGATTGTGTTGATTGTGATGCTACATATATAGGATAGACTGATAGGAAACTGAAAATAAGAATTAACGAACACAAAAATCACATCCGGTGGAACACATCCACTCGATCAGTGATAACTGAGCATAGGTTGCAGCACGGATATAACTTCGATTAGGTAATGACAATTTTAGATGAAGAACCTTGTTATAATAAGCGTTTAATCACTGAAATGTTGAACATTAAAAAACAAAAAACCAGTTTAAACCTACAAACAGATACAGAGGGTTTACATAAATCTTACATACCGTTAATAAACAAAATCTGACATTGCAATACCAAGATTATTTTATTATTATTCGTCAGTCAGTGTTCGTCTGTCTTGATGTTAACGTATATGTTTACTAAATGTCTTATTTTTTAATAATATCTTTTATACACTATTTATTATCTTTATACATCTTTAATTTTATATCGTGACTAATTATTTTACTATGACTAACACACTGACGCTTAGTAATTCAAAAATTGACGAACATCTTATCGACGTGTGAAATTTTATTTTATGATCAGCTAGGTGAGTTGTTTTGACCATGGTTTTACTCAATTTCTTTTTTATTATTTTCGTAATTTCTAACTTGATTGTTACCAGAACACCGGAAAATTTCAAACAACCGGTCATACAGCCGTTTCCGAGTGATTTCCGTTTCTCAGCAAAGCATCTCACTGGCCATCATTACTTTATGTATAATTTTTTCCTATCTTTTTGACTGTTTTCATCTAATGTAACATCTCTTGTATGTATATCTGAAAAAGACTCAATCGTGAGACCGAAACATGTCATATTTTAATCAATAGAATATTATATTATTTATATTTTCTTTTGATTTTTCATATTTTAGGCCCGGTTGTTCTACCTTTTGGTAAATTTTACCTGTTGGGTAAGTAGCAAGATTATCCAATTACATGCGCGGATTACCAGATTTACCTAACAGGTAAAATTTAAATGTGGAACAACTGGCCCTTAATATATATTATTATATTTGACTCTTACGTGCCTTTTATTCTCTCATTATTGTTTTTAAATTAATAGTCCTTCGTTCTTGTCATAACTTATAATTGTAACAAAATGAGTACCTTTTATTTTATAATTACATGTTCTTATATTTCTAATTGACAAACTAATTACGTAATATAAACGTACACGCAGCGTATATGTTTACATATTAATTAATATTTATTGTGTGCAATGCCTTCTCTGTAAAATCCGATGCAATATTTTTCTGTTATTGAAATTATAAACCACATATCCAACCAACGAAAACTATTTTTTTATAGTCCCGTTGAAACACAAAATATTACAATACATATACAAACTTGCTCAGTGTAGCTCGTCATTGTTATAAAGATTTTACAGTTGATCGTATGATATTTTCTTTTTTCATCACTTTCACCTTGTCAAAGTTAAACTTCGGCAAAGCGTTTTTGTTCTCAACAAATGCTTTGCGTATGTGCATGAGTAATCATTTTAATGTCGCGCCTCGACACTTTCATGTTCATCAATGCATTAACTCAAAGCTATCTCTTTGTGTACCCGCTTTGGGCTACTATAGGTCCTCGTCGCATGAGCGAGCGGGATTTACCGTCGCGGCTTGAACACGATGTCACTCTTCAGCAAATCCATAGCAGCAAGTCTGTACCGGCATTGCATAGTAAGTAAGAGCGAGCTTTATGTGCGCACGTCATACCCGAATCACACAGCTTTATCTATCAGTTTCACTAGATAGATTAGCATTGGTGAAACATTTATCTCTTATCGAATTGCACAGTGCAGTTTCAGGATTTGACTAGATTAAATATAACAGAAACGTCTACCCCTGCTATAATTTAAGTAAAATAAGGATAATTTGATAGGAGAGTATATGCAAGGATATATTATTTATTCGCTTGTACATAAAAATGGGATTTATGTAGATATGGGTACCGAGACTAAGCAACAGCATGAAGTGTTCAATCCCGGATACAGCAGAGCTTCTTCCAGCAACAGCGTTACACCGCCTGTTCAACCACCTCCTATGGCGACGATCAACAGTGCAACTTCTTTACGTTCCAGGTAAATATCATCGCATTTTTAACTTAATTGAAATTGCTTTCGATGCACATTTTAAAATATTTCCCAGTTTTTCGACACTAAATGAAATTTTACGTAATCTGTCTTAAAGAAACTAGAGATAAATCTTAAGAATAATAAATTTGTTTAAAAGTACCAACGTGTAAAGTATCTAAAATCAGAAAAATTTAATCAACCTTTTTTTATGTATTAATTTTATTCAGTATTATCTAATGTTATTGTAAATTGTACATTCTGTTAAATTACGAGAAACGATACGTTTATAAGATAACATTCTTGTGTACAGGACTCGGTCAAATAACTGATGCGACTTATATAAAATAAAAAATATAAAATAAGTTCCAGAAACTTATTTAAAATATAAAATCGTAGGAGTCGATAAAATCACTGATACGACTTATTTGAAATGAAAAATAGATTTTGGGAACTTACTTAAAATATAAAGTAACAAATATATATTTTAAATAAACGTTTCAAATAGTATTTAAATAAAAAATATTTTAATGATTTTGTTTATTTGAATATACGAATACATTTCTAAATATAACGTTTCAGTTTTTTTTATAGCTACAGCCTATAATTGATACTTAATAGTATTAACCCTTCGTGAACCAGGTGGAAAATCAACATGGATCATATGTGGGTATATCTCATACTCCACACGTATAACACTTCATTATAAATATACTATAATTTAATTACTCACTGTCACTTTTACCGACAGATTGGTAACATAATTGATACAATTTATTTAAAATAAAAATATGAAATAGGTTCCAGAAAATTATTTAAAAAATTCACGATCGTTAAAAACTTATATAACTTATTTAAAATAAAAAATATAAAATAAGTTCCAAAAACTTATTTAAAGTATTAAATAAGAAATAGGTCAAAAGAAGTTATTTTAAATAATAAATACTAAATAACTGTTTATTTTAAATAATAAATAATAAATAGTAAATAACTGTTTAATTTTATTTATTTAAAATATATTTTTAAAATAAATTTATTTGAAATAAGACCGAGATCTGCCTGTGTATATAGGTCGAGCCATAACTTGCATGATCCCATGAGAATCGGAACTTTACCGTCCACTGGCTTGATCAGCAGGCAGCAATCATCGCCCAATTTAAACCCAAGTACGTCGCACATGAGTACACCGTCGAATGTACAAGGCACAGAAGCAGAGCGATTTTATCAGAATCTGAATATTTATCGAAACCAAGATTCGACGGTGAAGCAACAAATCAGTCCACAACAGTCAGAAGATAGGTATAGATACATAGTCTAACCTTATATTTTCCTATTTTTATATAAGCACTTCTTTTACCATTTAGCGTTTAATCATTATTTGACATTTAAAATAAAAATGTGCTTATAAATTAATTTAGAACGTAATCTTATAATTTTTTTTAACTATTCTATTTTGAATACTTTCTAAATTAATCGCTATGTCTAGCAGAAATCCTCAGCACATCCAAAAGGGTTCATTAAAGGGTTCACAGAACTCATTGAACCGTCCCTCTACTATGGAAGTTGGCAGCCATTTCCGAGACCGTCCGACATCCGCTTACATTACCCAAGGCCAACAGCAGAGCTACTCGGTGGTCAGCAATCAAATGCAGCAACACACTGGTGGTCCACCACCACGTTCCCAGTCTTCGCGCGACATTATCCGCCAGGAGGCGAAGATGCAGGAGATGCAGGAGGAAATTCGCCGACGAGAATTGCGTGGCGGCGTACCGCTACTCAATCAACATAGACCGCCAATGTACATCAGTACTCGAGTGACGATTCCTCCTGCTCAACAAGTGTCGAACTTGCGTTTACCAAGGCCACTCGGTTCCACGTCGAATCTAGGAACGACCTCCAACTACATGGCGAGACAAAACGCGCCTAGTTACAATTACCCGGATGCCCAATATGCTCAGTATAACAGCACGCAGTATGGTCAATACAATCAGTATTCCAACCGATATCTGGTAATCGGAAGTCAATACGGCCCGATGATGATGCCCAAACCGAAAAACGAGACGATCGCGCGCGACCATCAGCCGATGCCCAATGAAAATCTATTCGGCAGAGACTCGAACAACCAAGAAGCAAAGTCATACGCCGAACAGAACCGACATTTTGCGGGTTCACAGAATTATCCGCATTATCCGAATGGTAACCTAGAACACCGCGTCGATCAATATGAGAATGACAACGTCAATCGTGCGCAAAACGGAGATGGCCACTCTACAGAAGTGCCACCAACGAGACCGGCTTTGCCATCTGAGGATACATTTAGCGAAAGTCCACCACCACCGCCACCTAGCACTTCGACGCACCCTCTGTACAAGCAAGTCGATACGAGGTATTCATTTTAATGAATTTAGAGGTTATTTTGGTTATTGTGATTTAGGCTGCGTTCCATTTAACGCTCACAACGCTCGTGGAATCATTTCATCTTTGTCGTTTATCAAATGTTAAACAAGGACAAACGATGCCACGAGTATTGCTAGCGTTAAGTGGAACGCAGCCTTAGGGCCATGGCACACAAAAAAACTTTTTTTTGTATAATATTTTTATTGCGATTTGTCTACAGGGATGACATTTAACACTAGGTTAGGCATGCATTAAGTTAGTCATGAACGAACAAGATTCATTAACTCAGTCGTATTTTTGAAAATTCTATGTCAGTATTTATAGAGGTCAAACTAATTTATTAGATCAAGAGGCATTTTACGTTTTAGTCTTCTCTTAACGATTTTGGATCTTGACTGATTTGCAATGGAGTTCAGGTGTTCAACTAGGCGTTGAACGTGTTTTTGTACGTAGGATTTAATTTCCTCTTTAACAGTAGGCATGCATAAGTCATGGTGTATCCAGTCGTTGGTAATAAACCAAGGTGCGTTACTATTATATGGAGAATTTTAGATTGAAACCTTTGTAAAATTTCGATATTAGAGTGGGTAGATGTTCCCCATAATTGTATTCCATATGTCTAAATCGGTTTCAGTATGGACTTGTAGAGAAGTAGTTTATATAAGAGGTAAGTTTGAAGGTCGTCCTATTAGCCAGAACATTTTCCTCAGTTTTAGGCCTAGTTATTTACGTTTAGCAAATATATTTTTACGCCAGTTTAAGCGACAGTCCAGATGGAGACCCCAAGTATTTAGCATGGTCGTCTTGAAGTATTTGTAATCCATTTAATGTTATTGGTGGGCATGTTCCTTACTTGTTCGTAAAAGTAACGTGAATAGATTTGCTCTCATTTACTTTTATACGCAAAATCCTGAGCCACTTCTGTATTTTGTATAAACTTGTCTGAAGGATATGTGATGCCCTCGTAGGGTCCTTGCTAAAACGACAGTATCGTCTGCAAAAGTGCCAATTATAGATTTGTGGTGAGTAGGTAAACAGTATGTAATAGATACCGGTCCCAGTACACTGCTCTGAAGAACTCCGGCTAATTACATGCAGAGTGGTGAAGTATCTCCATACTTAACATACATATGCCTCTTATTTAAATAGGATCTGAGAAAATTATAGTAATTGGTAGGAAAATTGAGCTTAATTTTATATAAGAGACCATCGTGCCTGACCTTGTCGAAGGCCTGGGATATGTCAATAAATACGGCAGAACAGTATTGTTTCTTCTCGAATGACGCATTAATTTTGTCCAGTCTATGCACTTGTTCTACAGTGTTGTGTTTTTTTCCTAAAACCGAACTGGTGGTCTGGTATGAGCTTTCTCTGCTCGATAATAGGCATAGCTCTTAGCAGGAACAATTTCTCCATCATTAGAAGGTACAGATAGTAAGTTAATGGGACGATATGACTTCACATCCTCCGCTGGTTTACCGAGTTTTTGAATCACGATAACCTCGGTTACTTTCCATTGAGGTGGAACATAGCTTGACGTTCCAAGGTATGGCGTTATACAATTGCGTGAAATAAACAACACCCTCTGTGGGGAGCTCTTTTAGCAGCTCCCCCAGTAATAAGATCATACCCGGGCGCTTTGTTTGGGTTTAGATTTTTTATTACATCCAGCACTTCATGTTTAGTAAATTTACTAATTGGAGAGTCGAGTTGATTTGTTTGGTTTAGAACTTCTTCAATATTTATAACTTCAGTAAGCAAGCATTTATTTGGATTAGGTGTAAATACAGTCGAGAAGTGTTTAATAAAGGCTTCGGCTTTTTCTACGTTACTGCTGGCCCAGATATTGTCATTCTTACGTATGGGTGGGGAGGTGGTTGGAGGATGTTTTAGTCTTTTGGTGACTTTCCATAAAGAGTAATCTGAAGTTTCGGAGACGTTCAAATTACTTAAATAGCATTGAATACCTTTGTTCCTCGCGTTTTGTAGCAGAATTTTCAGTTCTTTGATTGCACGGCTAAGGCGACTTTTGGTGGCAGGACATCTGTTTTGTTGCCACTGCTTACGTAGTTTACGTTTCTCATCAATTTTTTCTCTAATGGACCGACTACAGTCAGCCACATGTCTTGATTTAATAGTGTTGATTTCCACGCTGCTTGTTGGACACAACTATTAAAGTGTTCAACAGTCTCCGTGATGTCGTTCGTTCTAAGCAGTATGTTGACATTAAGAGCGGACTTAACAGTTTCACGGAAACTATTCCAATTAGTTTTACGGTTATGTATTCTTAACGGTTTTTCGTAAACTACAATTTGACTATTGAGAGTAATTAGGACTGGAGAGTGGTCCGATGATAGTTCCAAGCGCGATTTGTATTTTATGTAAAGTTTTGATATACCTTTTGCAATATCGAAGTTGATAAAATCGGGTATCTTATTTGAATCAGATGGCCAGTAAGTTGGTTCTCTGATTGTGATTGCATACATGTGCAGAGTGTCAATAACTTGCATTAGTTCACGACTTCTGGGTAGAATGAGTCTAGAGCCTCAGTGGACATTCTTAGCGTTATAATCTCCTGCCGCGATGAAACGATGCCCCAGCCCACAAAAGAATTTTATGAATTGTTCCTTTTTTATCGAGTGCCTAGGTGGGCAGTATACGGCCGAAAGGATGGGACCTGACCAGTCTTCGATCACGATATTAGTAGTCTGGAGAAAATCCGCACGAAAAGAATTGGTTTCATGATGTTTTATATTTTCTCTAATGAGGATCGCTGTACCTCCATTGACTGACCCATCGGGATGGTTGGTTGGAATTACTTTCGGTCTAAGGTTTATAATTTTGCTTTTCTGGAGTTATTTGTAGACAGTACAGCCCTTGTAGTTCGCGGGGTGGTTACCATTGCATAGAACACAGGTAATACTGTCTGGAAACAAGATCTTAGTAATTCTTAATTTTTCGTAGATATTTCTGGTGGGACGTAGAGTAGTGTTGTTTGTTTGAAAAACCTAGAAATCCTCCGTCTTCAAATAACGTCACTCTACGTCTCACTATGAATATCTACGAAAAACTATGGATTTCTGAGACAATCGAACTTCACTGTATGTCCCACTACGAATATCTACAAAAAATTAAAGATTTCTAAGATTTTGACTCAATTTATATACAATCAATGTCAATAAGTGGTTATAGATTAAAACAGAAAGTTTTATTTAAAGGCATATACCACAACACAAGATGTTCTTCGCTAGAATTTTATATTTCTATCCATTAACAATGAAATAAACGTTTCGGCCTCAAATTAGGCCTTCTTCATGAGATAACGTTTTCACTAGTTGAACTGTTTCAAGCAAGTGATTTGTGTCTTAATTTTCGTCCATGGACTATATTGCAGCATAGAATCAGAAAATTATGTGGGCAATAGCAAGGATGAATTGAAAATGTGGATTATTTGTAATGGACAAATTCTTCTGAAGCACATGACTAATTAATTGCTGACTACTTTAAGTTTTATTATAACATGATTGTAACGAAGGCCTCAAATTAGGCCTTCTTCAGTATTAACGTTTATTTCATTGTTAATAGATAGAAATATAAAATTCTAGCGAAGAACATCTTGCCTTGTGGTGTATGCCTTTAAATAAAACTTTCAATTTATATAGTTTTTCTATATTTTTTTGTAAAAATTTTTTTTTACTACGGCAGGAAAAGCCATTTTGCATTCGAAAATTATTTCAAATACCTATTTATCCATTTTACATTTAAAATGGATTCGAAAATCCCATTTTGCATTTTGTATTTTAAATACACCTTTTAAAAGTATTTTACGATTAGAATTTTAAATTCGAAAGGCATTTTACCCAGCCCTGAATATCAGCAAGCAATAATTGGCCCTCCCGAGAATCCGCAGGGCCTGCCTCTGTAGAGGGTGGATTTTCCAGTACAACTGGGCTGCCACCTGAGGTAGTTTCTCCCGAATATGTTTTTTCTATTGCTTGGCTACCAATGATACTGGTGTACCGATGTTTTCTGTCGGGGTTGTCCCCCTTAGCTGACCAGTCCCAATTTTAAGGCGTCAGGAATTCGCTTTTTCGCCCTTGTATGTCTTAGCGTTATCCAGGGGGCATGGCGAGGATATGCATACATCGGACTGGGCAAGGATAAATGGCATTTCTCAGGTTTTATTGGAGCTCCTCCGTCAGCAGGGCGAGCACCTCCGACAAAAAAACCTAAGCAGTAAAACGTAAGCAGTAAGCAAATTGACCAATCATAGTAAAGTCAGTAAGGCCATAACGTAAGCAGTAGCCAATCCAACATGTTGATTTCCTTACTTCTTACGTCTTACTGCCTTAAGTTTTTTGTGTGCCATGGCCATTAGTGTGATCTTAAGATTTCTTCCACCAACTTCGTTTAACACTAATCTAATCGATGGTCAATCATCACGATTGCCAACGTGAGAACTAAACACAGTTTGTACCAGAAGAGGAAGAGAGAGGAGAAATGTTTTGATATATTAAATTGCTGTTGACATTTCTACGAGTTGATTGTCGATTAATTTAATCAGAAGTTGGTGAAAGAAGCTCTAAATAACGAAGAAAAACTTTATAGATATACCGCAAGCATGCAGGATCCACCACGAGGTAGTTATTATCCTGTGGGAGGAATCAGTGCCATGCAGCAACCGCGTCAGTATCAATATAGCGCGACGAATCCTTGGCAACGTGAAGAAAGAGAGAAGGTAATTAATAAAGGAATAATGAATGAGAGAGAGAGAGAGAGAGAGAGAGAGAGAGAGAGAGAGAGAAATGGGAGCGATAAGTCTCGTTAGAATGATAATTTTTAGTTTAGATTCATTTTTTTATATTTCTTGAAGTTTTTGTTCTCTTGATGATTGTCGTATAATTAAGAGTTTTAAAAACAAATTTTCTGGAATTTGCAATTTTATTATAAACGTCATAAATTAGTCAAAGACTCTTACAAATTCAATAATAACATAAATATACGGATAAATAAGAGTTGAATATAAAAAAAAAAGAGAACTTATGTGAACATTATTAATAATACTTAAAATACATACATAAAAGAATCTATAAATGTCATTACATGTTTCGGCTCTTGGATTGAGCCATCCTCAGATGAAACAAAATTTGCAACCTTATAATTCATTTCCATTGTCATAGAAAAATCGTGATGAAAGTTATCCAATTTGTATAGCGATATTGATGAGTGCCTCACGGAGACCATAAATTACTTGCAAGCGATTTACTGACCGATTGTTTGGAATTTCATGATATTCTAATTAATGAAATATATTTGTTAATCAATAAATAAAAATAAAAAATAATAAATAAAATTAAGTTCTGAATAAAATAAAAAATCCATTAAAATGTTATCTACTTTTAAATTCTGTAAAACTAAGTAAAAACATCATCTTAATAAAAACACTCACCAACGTGATCGTAGTTACCATTTCTTAGGAAGATATATTTCATCAGATTTATCACAAAATCGTGTAAAATAAAAGAGGTAGTATACCAGTCAGATAATAATAATACGTAATACACAGTCACTACATTAAAACTTGATAATCAATACAAATCGAATCTTCCAGAAAAGAATTTTTTGAAAGATATAGTAAGGCTGACTGTCACCATCTGAGCGGTAATTAATAGATTGACAAAACGAATAGATAAGAACAATGTCAAATTTTGTTTATAATCGATATATACGTTTTGTGAAGGCCCTCCGTGTCTGTTTGGAGATTGAGACTGTTTTTTACTTTTTAATATTTAACATTTCAAAAATTAAGCGTTTATTATAACATGGCTCTTCATCTAGTACCTGGATGTTATTCCAGTCAAAATCATGTGTCGTCTGCAGTCTATGTTCGGTGATTACAGAACGGGTTGATGTATTCGAACGAATATGATTACGGTGTTCTGTAATTTTGGTTTTAAGTTGTCTACTCGTTTGTCCGACATATGATGCATTATAATCGTTGCACATGACCTTGTATACGACGTTATTCTTTGTAAGATCTGGTGTGGTTTAGAATACTTTTGTACCTTGATAAATTTATTCAAGCTATAATATGCGAAACTTTAATTCCTATTGAACTTGTTGAATTTATCGGTTATCGATGGAACAAATGGTACAGTGAATCAAGATGTAGCAACTTTTGGTTCCTCATTTGCATTATTACAATCATGTGCCTGCTGCTCCTCCACGTTGTATGCTTCTGATTCTATCATTGATTGTATCAAAAATAAATCTCAGGAGTAATTATTTTCTATGAGTATGTTAATTATTAATGTGTGTGTGTGTGAGATTTTTTTGATAAAATGTCGAATCAGATAATAGTAAAACTCTGTCAACTAAATTAAGAATTATCCCTCTTTTCTGAGAAACAGGATGATTCGAAAAATAGTTCAAAAACCGTCCTGAGAACGTCAGTTTCTGATACTAATCAAAGGTCAGATGCTCCCTTTTAACCCTGATCGTGACATCAAGAAAGTTTAAAGAATCTGGACCCACTTCTAACGTGAACTGTAGTCGTGGGTGAAACGAATTAAAACAATCATGAAATGTATTAATTTTAGATGGAGGAACAGCAGCAAATAGATCGTCGACATACCGATAATAGCCACGGTAGTGTCGCTGCGCGTAGCTTAGCGCCGAGACACTACCAGTGTCTCCAGATAATGTTTATAAGTTCTCTTTTTTTTTTAAATTCGACTCTTATTTGCCCGTATATCTTTATGTTATTATTCAATTTTATTATATTTCTCTTTAAGAACATATATTTGATATTGGTATCTACATATATTTGATATATTTGATATTGGTATCTACATATATTTGATATTGGTAGGAACAAGCTCGTAGAATAGAAGCCGCTCGTCAATGGCGAGATCAGCAGATTACCGAGCTAAGCGCGCTGACACATCGAACTCAGCAGCAAGAGGAGCAACTGCGAGCTCTTCAACTAGAAAGAGATTTCCAGAAGCGTGCGGAGGAGATTGCCAATCAAGACGATGATGAGGAGAGCAACGATTTAGACAACGAGAGTGTGCAGCGCGTTCAGGGCTTGCTAAGGATGGCAGCCAGTCAAGACAGAACAGTCCAAGAAACTCTGCAGCCACTGACTTTATCGAAAACAATTACAGGCAACCAGTCTATAAGAGGTAGTTTGCCTCTCCTGAGCAGCCAATCTGTCACCAGCAGCCACGTTCACATTCTGCCCAATCAAACAGCGCCTCAAAATGTCGAAATGAGCAATCCGGGTCAAGAAAATAATGGCTTGCACGTACAACCAAATCAGCAGCAACAACAAACGGTGGGTCAGAATGAAGAGCATGTGTCGCCAGCTAATTATGGCACACATAGCCATTTCAGTTCTGGTCAGAAGTCTTATTCCATGGGTATGTCGCACTCCGTAGAAGATAGGGAACTGCAACGGAAAATGGATGAAGTGAAGCAGAAGCAGGCTGGATATGAAGAGAATCAGAAAAAACAAGAAGAACAGCAGCAGCAAACATATCAATTGAATCAACATCCGCGCAGTCAGCTACATCCTGGCATGTTGCGCTTAGACAACTTGATTATTAATGGTCCTAACATATCTACATGTTAGTAAATTAAAGCTGTTTTTAAAACTTTTATTGAACTTTGAATTTGGAGTCTTTTGTATTCTCATATTTTTTTAAAGAAAAATTGTCTCAAAATATTTTTCTTATCAACGAAAGATTTACAAATACAATATATTTTAATTGTATATTTTAGATAATTACATGATTATATGATTTGACTTAGTATTTATGGTATTTATTATAGCTTCGCAAAACAATGTAAATGATGCACCCCCACCACCAGAACGAGGTTCTAGTTACGCTGTTATGTCACAGCAGAGTGCTCTCAGATCAAACGGCTCGACCACATCTAATCTACCTCCCACTTCTCAACAGTCAGCATCTATGAAAAGAGTTTCTTTTCATGATTCGAATGCAAACAGTGAGTCCATGGTGCGCAATGTATCATCTGGAATGTCAAATCCGCCATTAATCTCCATGGATACCATTAGAGAAGATCCCAATGTGAGTAATTATAATATCTATTTCTTTTATTCCTTATCATTTGCCTTCTTTAATTTACTTGTATTTTGTCCTATGCTTTAACATATTTGATCTCGATTTAAAAAATTGCAAATTAATATTTTACATTTTCCTTGTGATATTATTTACGTTGTCACGTATATCCTGATTCTTCGTATTAATTTTTTCGAAAGAATAGTATCATTCAAGATCATGTAGATCTCATTCCTATTTTCCGACGTACGATCTGTAATTTTAATAATTAAGAGATTAATATTTCCTTAAGAGGATTAATTTATTTCACTTAAAAAATATATACACAAATTTATTATAAATATGAATCTTGTCGAAATGCTTACGATTGCAGATAAACAAGTAAGGTACAAAAGTTAAAATAGATCGTTGCTACATTATGCTGTCATTATGTTTATGATGCACGAATCGTCAGTTATACCAATTATTATCTAATGATCATGTGTCTCTCATTCAAGTATTGTTCACTGTAATATTAGATGTTTTATTCATATTTTATGTGATCTACATTCATGTTTCATGTTGCATATAACTTATGCCAGTCTCTATAATTGTTGCTTTATGCGTATATTATTCTAGTTGCTCCCAAAAAATACATTCTTTTTGCAAAGCAATATTTGTTCGAATTTAAATACAACCTTCGATCAAAATTTTATCTAGGACTTATCATACAGGATGGACCACAAAAGTCTGGATACACCCAAATATCTCATAAATGATGTATTTTAGAAAAAAATATTTCTTACAAAAGTTGTAAGGTTTGAAAAGATGCATTCAACGATAGTAGTTATTTGACCTAGGATGGCATTGTCAAGGCCAAGTCAAGGTCAACATGAATTTTTTAAATGGAATCCCCCTTTTTTATTACATATTCTTGTAGCTTATCTCGAGAGCTTTCCAAAACACTATAATTAAGTTCATTTTCATTAAGTACATTGCGAGTTGTAAGGCTTGGAAGTTACAGTACCGTTGACATTAGCATTACGCAATGTGTCCAACCGACAGTTTCATTTTTGCATTGAAAATTCATTTTTATGTAAAAAAGAAAATAAGAGAAACAATCTCCAATGACCTTGATCTTAACAAATGTTATTCAGGACATGATTCTGAACAACATTCAAGAGGTTTTAGCCGTCGGTCGGACATCTTGGATAATTCTAATGCCGACGGTACTGTAACTTTCAAGCCTTATAACTCGCAAAGTACTTAATGAAAATGAACTTAATTATATGTTTTGGAAAACTCTACAGATAAGTTACAAGAATATGTAATAAAAAAGGAGGAGTTCCATTTAAAAAAATTATGTTGACCTTGATCTGATCTTGACAACGCCATCCTAGGTTAAATAACTACTATCATTGAATGCGTTTTTTTAAGCTTTACAACTTTTGTAAGAAACATTTTTTTCTACAGTGCATCGTTTATGAGATGTTTGGGTGTATCCAGACTTTCGGCCCACCCTGTATGTTATTATATATTAGATATTTTGTTAATTGGGTGTCAAATTTATTATCCATTAATATGAATTATATTAATTCAGCGAGCTATAATAATTTAATTTATGCAATAATAAATATCATAATAGTGTTACTTTTTATTTAAGATTTTTTTATTTAATTATTTTTATTTACTAAATTAATTATACATTCTTTATAAATTTATGTATTAATAAATTATTTATCACTCTCTTAGGTTACATTTTTATCGAAGCTTTTGCATATGCAAATTACGACAATGTGCTTTTATTGATATACAGGGTGTCCCATTTTAATCTATCGGTCGAAATAACTTCGAGGGGGATGGTTTTATCAAAAAATGTTTAAGACAAAAGTTACTGGGGTTGAAG